GTTGAAGTAGGGCATCAACCCGTTTGGACCGAATCTGCGCGGTTTCACCAAAACAGGTATAACTTTTTTCACATATGGAATTTTAATGCAAGGTTTGTTCCATTGGAAAGCTAACTTCCGGGGCTTCAATTTGGACACTTGGCCGACCACTTTCGGACTTCCCAATCACTGGCCGGCCATCTTTCTTTCCGGAAGACTTTTCTTTTGTCCTGAAAAACCAGAAAAGTAGCAGGCCGACCACCCTCTCCTAAAAAGTGGTCGGCCGACCAGGAAAGGTGGCTGGCCGACCATAAAAGTGGCCGGCCGACCACTTATGCCCAAAAAGCTCAAAATTGTTAGATATTTTCCCTCTTGTTGTCTTCCACAATCTCCAGTGGTCCAGATCAGATATTTTTCGACCCAAGCTTGTTGAGGAAGCTATTCTCTTCATATTAGAGGGTTAGAGCATATTTAGAAAAGGGAGAGAGAACTTAGGAGACTTAGAACATTTTGAGAGCTTCTTTCTCTAAAAAAATTTCCTCTCTCTCTAGAATTCTCAACTCTCTCTCTCTCTCTATATCTCTACACTTGAGCTTCCAAACCCTAGTTTTCTTGGACCATTTGCACTACAACCCTTAGCACCACACCTCCTCTATCCATTCCAGCACTTTGGGACTGATTTTCAAGGGTTTAAGGTCCACCAACTTGGTCCGAAAGCTCCAGCTTTGCTGCTCTTCAAGGGTAAGTGCCTATTTCCCTTAAACTTGTATTTTTTTGCTCCATTGATTAGCCCTACTTCCAAGTATTCCTGGGCTTCGACATAAACTGAAAAAGTTCTTATTTTGAGCCACTCTTCAACTTTGTTTAAGGACACTTTGCTATTTGAGGTCATTTACTTCTCCTTACCCTCTATATCTCTTTTAGGGCTATTTTTACATCATATTTTATCCCTACTTGTGAACATTTTCGAGAGTTGTCATAAACTGAAAGAGTTCTTATTTTGAGCCCCTCTTCAAGTTTTATTAAGGGAATTTTTCTGTTTGGGGTCATCCTCCCCTATGCATGCTTCATTCCTTCATGATTGAGGCTATGCATTAGAGCACTTGCATTGGCCATGGTTTGGCCTCTTAGCCACTGAAATCCAGTGGATTTTTAGTGGATTTGATGCATTTTTGAAGGCCAAAATTAGAGGGGGGTGACCCCCTCTCTCCTTGTCATGTTTGGGGGTCTTTTAAGCCTTCCAAAGGGACCCTATTTTTCTTGCATCGAAGTCACTTTTTGGGACCAATTTCATGGGGTTTAGGGTCTGCCTTAGGTCTTTCCGGGGCCCTTCTGATCATATTTTATACCTACAATGCATGTGTAGAACAATTCCATTCAAGGCCTTTTGAGGGGGCTTTTCTTTGCATGTTTCCTAGACTGATTTCAGGGTCTATTTTGTGAGTTTTAGGGTTGTCATAACTCATTTCCAGAGTTGGTTTAGTCATGCTAAGTGTCTATCTTGTATGTGCTTAACAACCCCTTGAATGGCCTTCCAAAGAAGCCCCTCATTTTGGCATGCATTGGCTGCATTTCAGTGATTATTTGGGCATGTTTTATTCACTATTTTTGGCTGGTTTGGTGAGATCTCATGCGCATCATATAGTTGTAATATAAACCATGCTTGCTAGGCAATATTGCATGTTATTTTAGTCCATCATGTTAGCATCTTTTGGCCATGCTCTAAACTAGAAATGTTCATATTTTGGGACTGTCTTGGCTCTGTCTTTTGACTTCATGATCAAATAATGCTTGCTTTGTATACTTGTGGTTCAATACATGTGCCTAGTTTTGAGTTTCGGGCTTATTCCATGCATCGGGTGCCATATTTCCATGTTTCGAGATCATTTAGCATCATGTTTTAGTGCTGGAAATTACATGTTCATAGGCCATCTTTTATTCTTTGCCATGCTTTGGTAGAGTGGCATTTGATGCCTTAGGTTTGGTCCTCGGTATGCGTGCATGTGTACATGCATTTCGGTTGTCTCATTTTCATACTCCGAGTGACGGAACGTGTCTCAATTCCCCGTCACCGACACTCCGGATTACCCATGATGGAGTTTAGGTCTTGTTGTGTTTTTATGTGCATTCATTTCACATTGAGTCATGCAATTCGATTCCTCGGCCATCATGCATCGATATGCGTCATTGGTGGCACGAGGATCGAGGACTACACTCCCTGAAGAGTAGTCATGCATACATATGTGAAATATTTTGCCATGCCCCTTTCTTTCTCTCTGTCGCAGCAAATCAAAAATCAGCAGCTTTCTAAAGCTTTGCACAGCATTCTGGCATTAATTGCAAACAGAGGCGAATCGGGGCATCGCAATGGATTTTCGCGCTAGGCAACTCAAGCACGCATCTCCCATCATTCGGAACAGAGCCGAGGCAGTCCATAGGCTTGCATGCTAATTTACCCGCTTTCCTAGATTAATTTGTTAATTAATTAGGATTTTCTATTCGGACTGTACTATTTACTCGGACTGTATTATTCTTTCGGATCCTCCGAGCGAGGGCACAATTGTAATAAGTGTGCGTGTGTGTGATGTATGTTTTCCAACCCCACGTCTTTCCCCATTTTATTTACCAGCTTATGATGGTTAGATTAGGGCATGTTTCAATTAGTATACAGTATGATAGCATGTTTGCATCATTCATCTGTTTTGCATGCACCGGGCTCGGCGCATCATGCTAATTGCATTTGCATTTCGATTCCGAGTTGAATACTTGTTAGTTGTAGCATTTCACATGCCATCTTTAGAATAGCTGAGCCTATCTTAGTTGCATTTTGCATGTGTTGCATTAGGCATTTCTGTATAGTTAGGATCATGCATGGATTTCTAACATAGTTTTTGTTTTGGCTTGGAGTACTCGGTAAGTGTTTATGCTTTAGCATCCTTGCATGTGTGTGAGTGACTGCCATGATAGCATGCTTACCATGAGGCTATGTGCTTATATGATATAACTGCCTGAATGCCTGTGGGTGAAGGTTGGGTTATTTGAATTAGAACAATTCATTAAATGCGAGTTTTAAGCCCACTTGAGAGTGGCAAGACCATATTTTCTAAGCCCACCTGAGGGTGGCAAAATCTGCATTTTAAGCCTACTTGCGAGTAGCAAACCATTTTCAAATAAACAAACATGAAATGTTTTGTTCCAATTCAGGCGACCCAGTCTATACTTGTATGCTGTGCGCATCACGTAGTAAATCTAGGCTAATAATCAGGATAAGAACGCATAATATTTTCAAAACTAGATATCATGGTTAGTAGAGGCCGATCTTTGATCGGGCGAGCGGGGGTGCTCACGAAGTGACCTTCCCCAATCGTACCCAAGTTCCCGAGCTGAGGCAACTTTGGTGATGACGGACACGTGGCCTTAGGCAACGAGTCAGGGTTTCCTAAATTTTCCAAAATAAAATTTAGGTGGCGACTCTGTATCTGGCAAAGCAGTCCATGTTTGGCACTTCTTTCAAAAAATCTATTTTCAAAAACGATTTGTCGAATTTGGACTCTTTGATGATTCATCGGTCTTGCATTGCACTCTGCGAGATTAGATACAAGACCGTGACTTTGAGTCCTGAACTGTAGTGAGCCCAATGAACAAAACGGGGGGGAATTCTCTCCCGGGACGTTCGGGGACGTCTACAGGCACCCCAAGTTTTGTAAAGAAGGGAGTTATGAACAAAGTGGGCTTAGCCCAAAACCACCACACACATGTACGCAGGCCTGCACCACAACCGCGGTTCGGCCAGCTATGCTCGGTACGGGATGTGGGTCAGGTCGAGTTGGGTCTTGGCTTTAATTTTTTGGACAAAATTGTTTGAATTTTCCCCCCCAAATTCTTGCGTGAAAATTTGAAATCCTAACCAAAAAATTCAAACGTTTGCGCCAATTTCAAAATTGAAACTCGAACAATGGCATTCCTTCCTTCTCCAGTTACCTTTCTTCACTCTTGCGGTTTTTAGCTTCGCACCTATTTGGAGGGCTTCCAATCCCATCCGAACAGTCACCATCTTGCCTATAAATTCAAACGTTCTCCAACCAATTCATGAATTCGTTTTTCTCGATTTCGATGTATTACTCTTCTGCATATTGTTATTATAATTTTCTGGAAGAGAGAGATACAACTCAGTTTGTTCGCCAGACCCAGATTGTAGTGCTGCAATTCTAGGATATGGTTGTTGTATCCTGAGAGATTGGCGTCATCTTTTCTCGAGCATCGTAACAAGGACGTAACGATCTTAAGGAAAGTGTGTCTAACACACGTCTCGACTGTCTTTCCTTTATGCATTTCTATATAGCAATAATCTGTAAGTTTTTTTATTTTTTATTTAAAGTAATTTAGTGTGTGTTCTTGTTCTAGTTTTATACTTGAACAAGAAATTTCTTTCCTTCCTTCGTTTTCAGAAATAATTATTTTCTGGATTTTGGAAAAATAAAGTTTACATTCTAAAATTTATTTGGGTAAATTACATTTACCTCCTCTGAGGTTTCTGACAAATACAAGGACCTCCCTTGTAGTTTCAATAATTACACTAACTTCCCATACTTTACCTGACATTGTACAGATTCCCCCAATCCGTCAATTATACATACACGACGTTACTTTTGTATACAAAATGACCATATTACCCTTTTATTTGAGTCTGAAAAGACAAAAATACCCTTTGATTATAGTATTCAACTTTGTTTTTAATTTTAATTTTAATTTTTTTGTTCTCTCTCATCTCATCTAATCCCCCAATCCCAACTTCACTCTGGTTTCGAATTGCAACGGCAGTATAATCTGAATTCTCTAAATCACTCCCCAGATGTCCCTCATACTCCTCCTCTTTCTCTCTCTACAACTCCACCTCTCTCATCTCTCCTCTTTTCTCCTCCTCCTCCTCCACCACCGCCCGCCACCTCCACGCCACGACCTCATCATGTCCTCTTGATTTTGACGTTCTTCGCCGACTCATTCAATTCTCAAATCGTCCAAAACTCGACTCCAATTCCGTTTCTTGTCACTACATCAAGGCCGGTCTCCGACTCGTTCAGTCCGATTATCTTCGAACCACCAACAATTTTCTTTCTCCGATTGACTCCGCCGAGTCTTGTTGGGTTTCGTACCAAACCCTAATCAACGATTTCTTTCCCAATTTCAATGATATTCTGAAAATCTGCGGTTTTCAGACCTCCTGGATTGCCGAGGATTGTATGAACATCACTACTCATGATGAATTCGAAGGCAATGACTCGAAATCGGCGTTAGACGTTGCCATAAAGGCGTGTAATCAATCTCTTGGTAACGGTTCGCCGTGCGCTTCTTGCACCACCAGTCTCTCAAGCCTCCAGCCTTCGAATTTGAACGGCCGATCAATTGGAAACCTCTCCGATTGCACGGCGTACCCTTCGATTTATGCCGCGGCGTTTATCAATCGTTTCGGCCCAATCGATGAAGGTACTGCCAACTGTATATGTGGTTTTGATTTTTCTGATTTGAGCAATTTGAATGGTAGAGTTAGAACAATTGTGATTTGTGTAGTTGTGATAGGTTGTGGGTTTGTTTTGTTTCTGGATTGTGGTGGGTTTTGGATTTTACGGCGAAAATGCGAGAAAATTAGGGAGAGAAGTAAGGTTGATCATGAGAGAGAAACTAATTTAGCTTTTGGAATGAATTCAATCAATGAAAGTACTACTTTAGTTAGGTACACATTTGATGAAATTAGGAAAGCAACAAAGAATTTCTATAGGTTGAACATAATTGGGAGAGGTGGGTATGGGAATGTATACAAAGGGGTATTGTCGGATGGCTCTGAAGTTGCGTTAAAGCGGTTCAAGAATTGCTCGGTGGGAGGCGATGCGGTTTTCGCCCACAAGGTTGAGGTCATTGCGAGCGTTCGACACGTGAATCTCGTGGCTTTGAGAGGGTATTATACTGTTACTACTCCTCTAGAAGGCCACCGGAGGATACTTGTGTGTGATTTGATGAGGAATGGTAGTCTTCATGACCACCTATTCGGATTTGAGGAGACATTTTTGAAGATTTATGTGAGAGAGAGAGAGAGAGAGAGAGAGAGAGAGAGATAGATGGTAATGGAGTTAGCAGTCACAAAATGAAGGCAAAGGAAACTACCCACCATTTTCTCAGAAAATACACTGTTCCGGAGAGAGAGAGATGGTAATGGAGTTAGCAGTCACAAAATGAAGGCAAAGAAAACTACCCACCATTTTCTCAGAAAATACACTGTTCCGGACATAAATGGGTTGAGGACACTTTAGGGCATTATAGACATTTTAATGTTTGGCTTTGATGACATCAGCTTTTTCTGTGAAATAAATAAACGGAAGTCAACAGAAGGGGGAATCTTGACATTGTCAGGTAAAGCAATGGAGGTTATTGTAATTATTCAAACTACATGGGAGATCCTTGTATTTGTCAGAAACCTCAAGGGAGGTAAATGTAATTTACCCAATTTATTTTAGAATTTTATTTCTAATCTTTTTTTTTTTTTTTAAATTTTAAATACACATAGTTTGTTATTGTATTAAATAGTTTTCCTACACAAACATCACGGATACGTTGTTGGTTTTATGGGTGGTTTTGGAAATATCTGATTTGGCTTGTAAAAAAGTCTAATCCACTACCATTAGGATTGTGAGAAAGGCTTCTCCTCTGCCATTATTCTCTCTCTATATATTTTTTATTTCATTTTCTGGGTTGTATTTTGAATTTATAATGATGATTTTAACTGTTTATTTTATAAAATTTATAGTGAAAATTATATGTGTAAAAAATTAATTTTATCAAATATCAATAATAGAAAAACAAGTCCGATTTTATTTTAGAAAATGGACTATTTATGTTTAAACTCATAACTATCATCCGTTTAAAAAAAAAAAAAAAAAATACATGATTTAATTTGTTCATATATCTAGTGATATCTAATGAAATTGATCTTTTACACAACTGATCTTTACTTCTAAGGCTACAAGTTGAATGTTTTTTCGGGAGAGACTTCTATCCAGTTGGGAAAACGAACTAAAGAGTGTTGTTGGGCTTCCGTGAGTTCACCATAGAGCCCATATCGATGACCTGAACCGTTCAATGTGAAAAATTATTAGTTGGTCTTGGGATGCTACGTGACTATGTCCCACACCAATCACAGTTTATCATGTCCTCTCATGTCCTTCAATCACCCAACACAAATTTATAAGCCATACCCCCTCCACCAATCACAACACCATTGGGACACTACATGGTAGTGCCCTAGTACCAACCAATAACTTCTCGTTCAATATGTAGAGCTCATCGAATGCTTTATCCTTACAAAAAATCACATTGATTGGATATTAATAACCACTTGATCAGATCACATTTGTGTTAATAATTTATTTTTAAATTATATACTTACTGTTAACACAAATGAAATATGATCAAGTAACTATCGATATTCGATCAATATGATTTTTTATAGGAATGAAGTAGTCGACAAGCTCTACACATTTATGTTGGCTTCGTGGTGAGCCCACGGTGGCCCAACATCACCTTCTAGTCCGATAATAGACTAGAGAGAAGCCTCTCTCTTTGAATTATCGTTGTGGATCCAAGATTAAGCTTGCAAAATATAATATAAAGGGGTATGGAGGAAAGCCATTTCCTAGGATTGAGGGGTTTATATAGATAATTTATTTAAGGGGAAAAAAAAAAAGTTTGTTTGATCTATTAATGGTCCCTTCATAATTTAAATTAATTAGATTTGTTTTTGAAAATTGAATAACAAATACGATTTTGAAATAAATTGTCTATTTAAAAAATAATAATAAAATTATATAATTATGATTATTTAATTAGTTTTTTTTTTTTTTAATTTTTTTTTCAAGAATCTATACATATAGACCTAAATAACCTAAAAGGTGGGATTCGAAATGGATCCACAAGTCAAACAGCAGTGGACTGGATTTTTCTCCAATCGGAGAGAGAAGCAAAATCCTATTACTATAAATTAGCAGTAAAATATATGTACAAAACTAGTGTATAGGAAAATACTCAAAAATAGTATTATATGATCAAAAATCAAAATGAATTTGAGTTATACAATAATTATTTTTGTTAAGATATTTCTGTACATAAGTTTTGTATATTCATTGTTCATGAATTAAGCACTTTGGGGCTTAATAGGTACAACTTAGGATTAGGAGGTGTATTTCTTCCAGATCTTAAATTTAATATTTACTACGCAATAAGTTCTTTGGGGTCAATCCATATAGAGCGTTTGCTTTAGCTTTAAATGGGGTCTTCATAAGTGAACGGTGAGATTGATCTTCAAAATTAATCGAGATGTGTGTAAATTAATCGGAATACCTAGTTATAAAAAGGAAAAAAAAATTAAATATGAATATAAACAGAAACACACCACAGAAACATTGCTGGTTTTGTGGGTTTCTTTGGAATTCTTTTTATTAATAAAACAAAGTTGGGGGTGGGGGTCTTTGGATGTCATAGTCACGTAGGGAAATTTAGAAAGTGGGAGTCTTTGGATGTCATAGTCACGGAGGGAAATTTAGAAAATAACAATGGTTGAGATTCTTATTTTTTTTTAGAGATCTTTACAATTTTGTTTGAATCTCTATCATTAATGATCTGACTCTCATACATATATGAGTGGGTCTCATCTATACATCAATGGTAAAAATCTAAATTTTTTTTTGAAATCTTCAAAAAATGAAAGGTTTCAAGCATTTTTTTTTTTTTAGAAAAATTGACTAGCTAATTATTTATTTATTTATTTATTTTATTTTTTTTGTGAAACTCATGCACGATGTGCCTTTGACTAGCTATTTTTGTGAAACTTATATGTTGTGAATTATATCATGGAAATATTACTTTTATATACCTTTTAAAAAGATGAATATTACATTTATTTTCATTTTTAGTCAATCAATTTAAAAAATAAATATGAGTTCTTGGTTTAGTTTGTGGCTCGGATCAATCAATAAGATATTCATAATTGCAAAGATATAAATAATTAAAAAAAAAAAATCCATGATAAGGAGGAAAAAAAAAACCAACATTTACCTTGGACATTGATTTGACCCTCAAAAGTATGGAAATGGCTAACTGAAATAAATCAGTTCGATTTCAATTAATTTAGGTTATTAGATTATACTTCTTTTTTCTTTTTTTCTTTTTTATTTGATTAACAAAAAAATATTTCAATAAATATATAAAATTAAAGGTACAATAAAAGTATAATACACAAGGAGAGTATAAAAACTCCCCTACTACTTCAACCTGTAAGATTATACTTAAAAGGAGTACTAGTAGAAGTTTAACTGCACGGGCACGAAATATTTTTCCTATATAATTCTGTTGATCAAGTCTGCGCTCCTCCGTACGATGTCGCTTTATTCCCTGAAAATACAAACGTGAACTAGTCGGCGGGTGTGTGCCGGATACCTCACCGATGCCTAAGTCAGTAAAACAGACAAATAGACAAAAGCTCTGTGTATTCGAGAATCAAAGTTGTGTTACCTCTCCATAGGTGATGTTTGTGAGCTTTTATAGGTTCCGTGTGGCACAATCCTAGTAGGACTTTTACTCCTCCATGTAGAGTCCTCCTAGGATTTACTCTCCTGAAAGATAATGTTTATCTTTCAACATCCCCCTCACTGCTTAAACCAAGTGAGATGATCTTACCATGGCCAAACTCCAACACGACCGAGGTAAGCATGGCTATGCTAAGCCGCAGACTAGACCGAGATAACTCTACCTCAGTTCTTCCATTCACTGCTCCTACTACGGTTTTCCCAGTGTTGACCATAGTATTGCTTAGACAGTGCTAACCATTAGCTAGGTCCGACAGAGCTAGCTGCGCTATACCGTGACCGTACTAACTCTGAGTGTGGCAACCTGGCGACCGAGCTATCCATAGCATTCTCCTGGACCAAGATAACAATAGGCTCTCAGGGACCGAACTAACTTTATGGCCGTCTGGGACCGGACTAACTTCAAGGTTCTGGGACCGGACTAATTTTCAAGGTTCTGGGACTGGACTAATTTTCAAGGCCTTTTTACTCTGCCCTCCGTATTGTGGCCCATAACGGCCCATTGCCCAACTCGGCCCAATTTATAAATATAAATTACCCTCTCAATAACAATTTCTTTTTATTGAGTTTCATGTTCAACCATGTTGTAAAGGGTTTTCTTATACATTTATTTTTTGATGGGTAAAGTTTTGTTATACATATTTGGAGTTTTCTTACACAATTTTGCTTTTCCTCTTCGCATTGCTTAAAAACAATTGGTTGGAGTAGAAAAACTTTCATGATCAGCAAGTGTTGATCATAAAGTCAAGGTAAATGCAGTAAGCAGGAGAGTTACAAGCTGGTAGATCTCAATCTCATCTACTATCATTTTAAATTGAGAAATTTAGAGTTAAGTTCTGTTTTTGACAAATAATGGCAACTTAGATTCTATTCACAAAACTTTAAATTCATAAGTCTTTTGTATGACCAATCTATCTTTACAAATTCAAAAACACAAAACACCCTCTCTCTCTCTCTCTCTCTCTCTCTCTCTCTTCGTTCCTCTCTTTATTTCCACAAATTTCAATTTTTTCTACTTTTTTGTTCACAAATTCCAGAGCAACAAAGCTAGAAGATCATCTACTATCATCAAACATTGATATCAGTTGGAAACATTCTCATATTTGAAGTCGTTCCCCTCTCTCTCTATCTCTACAAATTTCATATTTTTCTACTTTTTCGTTCACAAATTCCAAAGCAACAAAGCTAGAAGATCATCTACTATCATCAAACATAGATTTAGTTGGAACATTCTCATATTCGAAGAAGGGCAATAGTGAAAATAAGAGCTCTCGTTGCAAGTGGTCTTCGACGAGCTCTTGAAGATCACTTCGTTTCTTGATATCCTGAGGTTTGCAAAACTGTGATCGACGATGTTGTAGATCGGTTCAATGATTCTAGACTTTTCAGATTCAAATATCTTAAACCCTAATTTTTGAGGGAATCTTTTCATTTTCAAAACTATTGTTTTCGATTTCGATTTCGATTTCAATTTCAACGTTGATTTTGGTATCATTGTTCTTAGCTATAGAGTTCATGGGAATGAAATCACCAATTTAATCGCATGCTCTGTTTTTTCTTCTTCTCAGTATTCTTAGTTTTAAAATTGAAAAAAACTGATAATGTTCTCAATTTTAAAATTGAAAAAAACTAATAATATTCTCAGTTTTATTAAATAGTCAAATCAAACCAAAAAGTAGTGGGCAAAAACGTTTAATCTTATACTATATTTTTTTTTATCAGTTAGCAAAACAACTATCTGGAATATTGTTGTGCAAAATTAATAATGTTCTCATTTTTAAAATTAAAAAAGAACTGATAATATTATCACTTTTACTAGATAGTCAAATCAAATCAAAGGACAGAAGGGCAAAAATGTCTTTATATCTCAAAATAAGATTTGTTGGTTCAAAAAATCTTGAACAGGATCTAAGCTAACACAGTATTGGTTAATAGAATTTTTTGGTAATTAATCCTTTTAAATTGGGATTGACCTAATGGAATAGTCAAAAAGAATATGGGTTGGATGGAATAAACCTCTTAGAAAATGGATTTATCAAAAAAGCTCCCTTTTAAATTTAATAAGACTTGCAGGAAATAGGGGTTGATGCCTCATGTAAAATGGTGACTATGGATATTTTTACTTTTCATGTATTTACACAATAAATAAGGTGTATGCGTAAGATTTATCATCTTTTAAAAAATAGTAGGATATATCGTGACACTTTTTTTTGTTTATTAACGACATACTATTACACATTGAAAGTTATATATATAAAAAGTTATGAAGTTTGAGTATTTCGAACATATTGTCGTATGAGTAACATGACACAAATATGTATAATTATGTAAAATACATTGGGGCTCAGAATGGATATAAGACATGTACATTTCGGGTACGAGATGGATACATTTCGGGTACGAGATGGATACATTTCAAATACTTTTTCAGATATTCACGACATACATACATACATACATACATACATACATATATTAAAATATAAGAGTGTTGGAACATTTATATTTGTGTTTATTTTTAATTTTTTTTAAAAAACTGTATTTTACAATTATAAAAATTTATACAAAAATCGTTAAGAGTTCTTAGCATTTCAAAAGTATTTTAATTGTTTCTTAAATTTGATTTTTTAATTGTTACGTATTATGTACAACTATATTTTTATGGATGTATTGGATTGTACTTATATTCTACCGTATCAACATGCTGGTAACATTTTTGTATCCTTACCTACACCAGCACTCATATCCCTACTTTAAAAAGTGAAAATTTTGATAAAATATCCCGATAATATATACCATACATCTAATCTAAGTGAAAATGAGGTGATTTTTCAACTTGTTATGTTTTTAAAGAAATAGTCGGTGGGCAAGTTAGCTGCCAAACATAAACCTACCACAATTAACTTCATAGTTTCAACAAATAGGGTTACAAATTTATGCAGCCTCATCTTATTTTTTTTCTTCATTTATTTATTTCATCTGATGTACAAATTACTGAAATTCCATAATTTCTTCCATTTATTAAAGCTGTTGAAGTCTTTGATGAGGACTCAATACAAATTAAAGAAGTGTGGTCAAGAGTTAAATTTGAATTTCTTATAATTTAACAATTATATGATTAATATTTAAGAAAACCAAAATTTCAAGAGAAAACAAGGAAGTTGTATTTTTTTTCCCTTTTGCTTTTTATGTGCTTTGGATTATTTAAATGGGTCTTGTTAAGTGTCCCTTAGGTACAAAAAAAAAAAAAAAAATTACAAATTTTAATAACACACTTAATTTAATTTTTAACTTTTTCACCATTTCAAAATAATTTTTAGACAAATCCCAATTTTAAACAAGGATGAATCACACTAATGGTTCTTATAATTTGGGACTTCTGTTACTTTGATTCTTGATCTTTCAATTGTGATACATTTGATCATAATTATGAATCTCGTTCCAAATAAGAACAATTGAAGACACCGTTGCTGCATTTCAAGGGCAAAGTCATTAATTTGATAAAATATAAACTAATTTGATAAAAAATAAATGTCAAAAAATTATTTTTGAATTTTTAAAAATTATTTTTACCCACTAAAGATAAAATTATATAACAATGATAAATCTTTTACATTTTTAATTTTTTTTTTATTTTTTTTACCAAATTAATTTTTAGTATGTGTTTGGATGATGACCATGTAATATGTGATTATTTTTGTTAATATTTTTGGATGGCTGTTGTATTTGTTATTAACAGATATTTTTGAATTGCTATCTTGTAATGGACGTTATTAAGTTTTTAATTTATAATCGATATGTTTAAAATATAAAATATTTTTAGTTTTGATTTTTTGATTTGATAGATTGGTTTAATAATGAAATTGTAGTTGTCACCATGTTTGATTTTTGAAAAAATATAAACTAATTCAACTAAAATAAATATCAAAAAAATTAAAAAAAAATTATTTCTATTCTCCCACAAGATAAAATTATATAAAAATAATATGTTATTAATTTTTTTTCACCAATTTAATTTTTAGTTTCTTAGAAAGATTTTTTTTTAAATAGATTCTAAAAATCAAACCAAACGAAATGCGACAGATCGGTTCAGTTCAATTTGGTCAGTTTGAGTGGATCGGAATATCTGTTGTTCACCCTTATCCCAAGTTTTGTAAGGAGGAGAGTTATAGACAAAATGGGCTTGGCCCAAAACCACCTCCTATACGCGCCGTCACCCAGCTAAGCTGAGCTAGGCGCAAGTGCGGGTCAGGTTGGGTCCTAACTTTAATTTTTGGACAAAATTTGTTTGGATTCCCGCCCCCCTCAAAAAAAGTCTTGCGGGAAAAGTTGAAATCCTAGCGGAAAAATTCAAATATTTGCGCCAATTTCAAACTTCAAACTCAAATTGTGGCATCCCTTTCTTCTCCGGTCACCTCTCTTCACTCTAATAGTTTTCAGGTTTGCACTTGTTCGGAGGGCTTCCAAACCCATCCGAATAGTCACCATCTTGCCTATAAATTCAGACATTCTCTAACCAATTCATGAATTCTTTTTTCTCCATTTCGCTGTATTACTCTTCTGCATATTGTTCGTATAATTTCCTATAAAAGAGAGATACAACTCAGTCTGTTCGCCAGACCCTGATTGTAGTGTTGCAATTCTGGGACATAGTTGTTGCATCTTGAGAGGTTGGCGTCATTTGTTCTCAAGCACCGTAGCGAGGATGTAATGATCTTAAGGAAAGTGTGTCCAACATATGCCTTGGTTGTCTTTCCTTTCTGCATTTCTACACAGCAATAATCTGCAAGTTTTCTTTTTTTTTTTTTTAATTTAAAGTAATTCAGTGTGTGTTCTTGTTCTAGTTTTATACTTGAACAAGAATAAGTTTACATTCTAAAATTTATTTTAGTATTTTATTTCCAATCCTTTTTTAAAAAAAATTTAAATACACACAGTTTGTTATTTTATTAAACGGTTTTCCTATAGCTTAAGATCGTTAAGTTATTTTTGTGTATTTATTTTTTTTATGAAATTGTGATTTTCAGAAAAAATGGCAATGGATAGTGCTGAGACTATTTTGACCTTGACCCCAATAGTCTTGATACCATCGCCAGTGACTCCTATGGTGTCGACAAACCATGGAGAAAAATCGAAAAAAATCAATGGAACAGAGTTTAAGAGATGGCAGCAAAAAATACTATTTTATCTTACAGCTTTGCATTTGGCCCAGTACATCCATGAGTAGGCCCCGAAATAGATAGAGGGGAAGGACGCTGATCGTCAACTTGTTGTTGCAATAGATGCCTGGAAGTAAGGTGACTTTTTGTGTCGAAATTACATACTAAATGGACTTGATAATTCTTTATACAATATATATTGTGTAAACAAGACGGCCAAAGAACTTTGGGAATTTCTTGAATTGAAGTACAAAACTAAAGATGTCAGTGTAAAGAAATTTGTTGTCGGACAGTTTTTGGATTTTAAAATGTTTGATTCTAAAATGGTGGTTGGCCAAATCTAAGAAATTCAGTTGATCCTATATGATATCATTTCCGAAGAAATGATTTTGAGTGATTCATTTCAAGTTGCTGCTATTATTGAGAAACTTCCACCTACATGGAAAGACTTTAAAAATTACCTTAAGCACAAACGCAAGGAAATGAAGTTGAAAGAACTTATCATACGACAGAGGATTGAAGAGGACAACCGAAAATCTGAGAAAAAGTCTACAAACCAAGTCATGTAGGCTAAGGTAAATGTTGTGGAACAAAGACAAAGTTTGACGTTCAACAATAACAAAAAGAGAAAGCATGATGGCAAAAGGTCCAAGCAAGGCTTCAAAAGTGATAACAACAAAAGATTCAAAGGCAAGTGCTATGTGTATGGTGGTGATGGACATTGAGCAAAGGATTGTCGAAGGTGCAAAGATGGAGCAAATTCTAGCAAGAAACTGGCACAAGCCAACATAACCGACGATTACAACCTTTCTGAGGGATTGGCAGACATCAACCTTTCTGCAGTAGTCTCTGAGGCTAACTTGGTAGGCAACCCTAAAGAATGGTGAGTGGATACTGGAGCAACCCACCACATTTGTGCCAATAAAAAAATATTCACAACTTACAAAGTGGTAGAAAATGGCGAACAACTCTTCATGAGAAACTCCTCCACATCAACTGTAGAAGGACAAGGGAAGATAGTGCTAAAGATGACCTCGGGAAAGAAACTCACTCTCAATAATCTACTCCATGTTTCGGAAATTCGTAAAAATTTAATTTCTGGGTCATTGTTGATTAAGAACAGGTTTAGGCTAGTATTTGAATTTGAAAATTTTCTACTCATTAAGGCTGTGATGTATGTAGGCTGTGGGTATATGACTAATGGGCTTTTTAAGCTCAATGTGTTAACTGTTGTACCAACTATTGCTTCTAATAATAAGAACTCATCTTTTGCTTATATTGTTGATTTTTCTTAGTTATTGCATGGTAGATTAGGACATGTAAATTATGGTTCTTGGCGTAAACTTGTTAATCTAGAATGTTTACCTAAATTTAATCTTGACCTTAATCATAAATGTGAAGTATGTGTTGAAGCTAAAATGACTATAGTATCATTTAATAAAATTGAAAGAAGTATTGAACCACTAGCTTTAATTCACATCGACATTGGGGATTTAGAATTTGTGCAAATTAGAGGTGGTAAAAAAAAATACTATAACTTTTATTGACGATTGCACTAGATATTCCTATGTATACTTGTGAAGTAAAGATTAGGCCTTAAAAGCTCTTAAGCAATATAAGGTAGAAGTTGAAAATCAACTTAGAAAAAAGATTGAGGTTGTAAGAAGTGATAGAGGTGGTGAATATGATGCACCATTTGATGAGTTTTGCTCAGAACTTGCTGTCATTCCCCAACCACTGCACCTTATTTTCATCAATCAAACCGAGTGGCTGAAAGGAAAAATCGCACTCTTAAAGTGATGATGAATGCCATGTTGATAAGTTCAGTTTTACTCCAAAACTTGTGAGGGGAGGCTATTTTATCAGCAAATTATATCCTATATAGGATACCCCACAAGGAAACTAACCAAATACCTTATGAATTATGGAAAAGTCATCGACCCTTTTATAATTACTTAAAAGTATGAGGGTGCTTAGCAAAAGTGGTGGTCCCTAGTCCCAAAAAGACTAAAATTGGACCAAGAACCGTTGATTGTGTATTCATTGGCTATGCAAATAATAGCAGCACATATCGATTTTTGGTATTTAAATCAAGTATTCTTGATATACACACAAGTACTATTATCGAGTCAAAAAATGCATCATTTTTCGAACATGTCTTTCCTTGGAAAAAGAACTAAGAAAATCAAATTCCTGTAAATATAAAGACAATGGCTGAACAAGCCGAGTCATCTGAATTGAAAGAGCCAAGTTCTAATAAACGAACTTGTAATGACGCCATGAAAAGTGGCAAAGACCAACAAGAAGATAAGTCTAGACATGGAAAGTGACTAAGGACATCTAAGTCTTTTGGTCTAGATTTTCTAACTTTCTGTTAGAAAATAAGCCTCAAAGCTTTAAGGAAGTAATGCCAGGTCTTGAAGCACCATTATTGAAAGAGGCTATAAATGGCAAAGTTGAATCCATTATACAAAACCATACTTGGGAATTGGTTGATCTTCCTCCAGCGTGCAAACCACTTAGATACAAATGGATTTTCAAAATGAAAATGAAAGTAGATGGGTCGATTGATAAATACAAAGCTCGCCTTGTAATTAAGGGGTATAAACAAAAGGAAGGTCTTGACTAGTTTGACACCTATTCTCCTGTAACAAGAATAATATCCATTCACATGTTGATTGCTATAGCAGGATTGTATAATCTTGAAATACATCAGATGGACATTAAGACCGCCTTTTCAAATAGAGATTTAAATGAAGAAATCTACATAGAACAACATGAGGGATTGAAAGTACCTGGCCAAGAGAAGAAGGTTTGTAGACTTGTTAAATCCTTATATGGATTAAAGAAAGCACTGAAACAATGGCATGAAAAATTTGATCATGTTATAATATCAAATGCGTTTAGAATAAACGAGTGTGAAAAATGTGTCTATGTCAAAAATACCAACAAAGGTTATGTCATCATTTGTCTCTATGTAGATAAATTGTTCATCATTGGTAACAATATTAAAATGATAAAGACTACCAATAAATTGTTAAACAAAATCTTTGACATGAAAGATATAGGAGTAGCAGATGTCATACTACAAAATGTTTGATGGGTATGCCTTATCTTAGTCTCACTATTTTGAGAAAATTCTGGGAAAATTTAAAAAGCATGACAACCCTCTTGCTAAGACACCTATAGATGTTAATACTGTAATAACCCTGACCTCCGATTAATGCTGAACCATGATTAATTATGCCTAACAGTAATTTAGAAGGAATCCGAAATTAAATCGCATATGTGTTGCATTATCTTTGTGTTTTTATCTGTTTGCCATAAAATGATCTGTTCATGTTTTATGTTTTGAGCTACAAATTGAAAGCCTTATTGGCAGCCGAATCCAAAATTGACTAGTGTTTTAGACTAATTAGAATTAATGTGATTTTATGGTAAATTTAGTTGAAATTTGATTTGGTATGATTCAATTGGATTAAATAAGCTAAATTACATTAGTTGAACTTATCTATCATTACGCCACTTAGTGGCTTGATTTGAGACCAACCTTATTACACTTAGAAACATATATCCTCAGCCATTTTCTTGGCCAAAACCGACTAGAGAGGGTGAGTTAGGGGAAAATAGAATTCATCTAAAGATTTGGCTTGGAGCTTAGGAGAATTGAAGAGGCTTTGCAAATTTGAGCTCCTAGACTTGGAATTCAAGGTTTAAGGTAGGAGACTCCCCTTTCAAATGTGAATTTAAGATTAATTCTTGCATGGTTCATGGAAGATTAGAGTTTAAAGTCTAGAATTGGTTTAAAAGTTGGGTTTGAGAGTGAATTCATGCATGCATGCATCTATTCTTGGATTTTGGAGTTGTTCTTCATGAATTTCCACATGCATGTCCACATTTTTGTTATAGTCCATGAATTCATCCTATTCTTGAGCTTAATCTTGTTTTGGATAATGTTTTGGAGCATTAGAAGTCATGAGAATTCACGCATGTTACATTTAAGTTATGTTCTTGATATTTTATTTGAAATTGTGTTTAATTGACTCACCTTTGGGCTTTGATTTTACAAATTAATCTTTGAAACATCTTCTACTATGAGTTTACAAGTGTTTTCCAAAAAATGGGTCCAAGAGGTCGAGTTTTGAGGTGTTGAATGCTTGGTTTGAGCTTGGGAGGCAAATCTGGAAATTCCAGAATTTGGCTTCCTCACTCGAGCGAAGGATTCCACGCTCGAGCGACCATCGTTTGTTCAGAGCTCCGCTCGAGCGAAGGAATGGTGGCTCGAGTGTAAATTGCAAGCTCTCAAGTTTTTGGTGCACGCAGACGCACGCTCGAGCGACGAGACCTACGCTCGAGCGAAGAGTTGTGTCTTACGCTCGAGCGAGCATCGAGCGAGTATCGAGCGTAAAATTTCAACAACCAGTACTTTTGCATTTTTACAGACTGCTCGAGCGAAGGAGTCTATGCTCGAGCAACCCCTCTGTTTTGACAAGCTCGCTCAAGCGAAGAAAGCCACGCTCGAGCGAGACCCTTGTTTTCAGCAAGTTTTGAAAAATATTTTCCAAGGCATCTTTGCATCCTCATTCCATCCTAGGCATTCCTAGGCCATGTTTAAAACTCTATAGTGAGGATTTAAGGTTAGAAACACACTAAGAACCAACGACGTAAGTTTTGTGCAATTAGAATGTGTGTTTCAAGTGTGTGTCCGTTATGTGTTATGTAGGTCACGTGCCGCGTGTCGTGTGATCTATCTGCTTCATCTGTCTGTTTCAAGGCCAACTGTGAGTAATAATTTAGTAAAGTTATGTTCAAACTGTATCTACTTTCTGTGTGATAAAATAAGATCTGTTTTCCGAAATGATATGTTCTGTATAATGAATGATTGTTCAATTTCTGATATGTATTTGTGACATCCTTAGCATCATGTGATATCTGTTAGCTGTTACCCGGTATCGGAGGCCCTGTCACGGGGGTTCAGCTTCTGTTCTGTTCTGTTACCCGGATCCGGAGGTTCCTTTATGGAGCTGGTTATTCGTAACCCCACGTGTATACGTTCTATTTTATTTTGTTTTGTTAATGCTAATGGATGTACCACGTAAACTTAATCATGACTCATGATTTCTGTCTGTATATAATCTGGATAAACTATGATTTCAATATGAAACTGAATTATGATTTCTGAATCTGTACGAACTCATTCATTGAAACCCTTTACCCTATTATTATTCACTAGGCTTTCACTCACAGTTTATATTATGTATGTAGGTGAGCCGACACATGACCAGGGCCAGAGTTGACGGCCTTCTGTTTCGTTTTTGTCAGCTAACTGTTGTGCCTCCCGAGGAGGTTCCGAACGAAGCCTAAAGCCATGGCTGTTTTTGTATACATACTAGTCTTTGTGTATGCTCTGTATAGGCAGGTCTTGGAAAGTACAATCTGTGAATACCTTGTAAATATTGTGTATCTGGATTGGCATGTTTATGTATCTATAAATAAGTTTTGAAATGTTCTGTCCCATGTACGTTATCACAGCTCATTGGACCTTGTCTATTTTGTATTATTGCTTCCGTAGCCCCTTATTATTTGCTAATCTGTTCAGAGGCCTTTGGTAATCCACGGATTACTGGCCGGTTACGGTGCTAAACCTATATGGGTGGGTTTGGGTCGTGACAAATACTCATTTATTAAAGAACACAGGAGAAAGCATATCACAAGTAGAATACTCCCAAATTATTAGAAGCTTGATGTACTTAATGAATTGCACATGGCCTAACATAGCTTTTGCAGTCAGCAAATTAAGTAGGTACACAAGCAATACAAGGAAGGATCATTGGAAAACTATAATTAGGGTGCTTAGATAACTAAGACATAACCAAAATTATGGATTGCATTATACAAAATATCTAGCAGTACTTGAAGGTACAGTGATGCGAATTAGATATCGGATACCAATGACTCAAAGTCCCGTAGTGGATATGTCTTTATTCTAGGAGGTGCAACAATCTCTTGGAAGTTCTCTAAACAAACTTGCATTATGGAATCCGAATTTATAGCTTTAGATAAAATAGGAGAAGAAGTAGAGTGGCTTTGAAATTTCCTAGAAGATATTCCAATGTGGCCAAAGCCCGTGCCAGTTATATGCATACATTGTAATAGTGAAACAACAATAGAATGGGCACAAAATCATATGTATAACAGTTAGTCTCGACACATTCGTCGACGACATAATATCATTAGGAAATTTCTCTCAAATGGTATAATATCCATTGAATATATAAGGTCTAAAGATAATATT